GATATTAATGAGTTTTTTGGGTTCATTGAGAACATGGTTGTTGTTCAATAATAAAATTATTCCTCAAAAATACAACTTGCCTAATAATTCTGCACTCCCTGTGTATTTTTTTGTCTGTTTGTTTTGTTAGTTTTTGTTTTTTGCCCTTTATCACTGTTCCTCTTCCCTGCTGTTTTTTCCCTACCTCTTTCTTTCTCCCTTTTCTTTCCCCCAGTCATGTCTATCCCATGTGTAGTAAGTGAAAATAAAATAAAACAACAACAATAACAACAAAGGTGAATCAAATAGACCAATATGGCAAGGCTGGGATGGTCCATTTGGTAAAGTAAATTTGTTGGGCATCTTTCTTTGCCTTTAGACAATAATTCTGATGGCAAAAGAACCAAAAAATAATAATAATGCAATTTAACTTTAATCTCTTACACCCTGTTTAAAATTCTCATTTTTCAATTCATTTTAAAATTCTCAGTGAAAAACCCCTCCAGATTTACTCAGCTCCTTCCCTAGAATCCAAATTTGAAAATAGTTACACCTTTATAACAGTTATTCAGCAAACACTGATGTTATTGAAGTTGATATTAGAAAAAAACTCAGCTTTATTATCAAGTTCCTGAAACTCTCATGTATATCTTAAGCAAATACATTAAAACATATCCTAAAACTAGACTGAAAAATATTTGCACACCTTTTATTATAATTAAACAAGTGTGTGGTTCTCATGGAAAGGATTAATGGGTAATCTCACTAAACATTTGGTGATATCAGTAATTTTGTAGGTGCTAAAACAAAGTGTCTGAGTCGGCTGCTGAGTATATAAGCTGCAATGCTCAGTACCTCTGACAAATTGGAAGGTGAACGAATACAAACATGTGGACTCTCTTGTTCCTTTGTGGTGTGCTCATCACACATCAGGTGCAAGGTACTTTCCATTCGTTTCTTATCATGCTTTTTTTCTTTTTGGATTTTCAAGCAAATTTGTTATTTTGTCATTTGATATTTTCAACAACATTTGCGAGTTGATGGCTTGTCGGTGCTGCATTTGTAGTCTGAAATTGATGTTATCTTTATGTCATTATCCATCAGGTGTAGATCGTGGCGACGCTGCTCGTTATTGGTGGACTACAGCAGATTATTGGGAAACTTCAAGAGATTATTGGGAAACTACACCAGGTTATTCAGGTAAAAGGAAAGATATATGGTACTGTCTTTGTCTGTCTTAATATTGTTCATTTAATCGCTGTGGTCAACAGTTTACATCAAATAACAGTCATGAACAAAACAGAGTATTAGAGAGATTTTTAAAAATGGACATGAAAGCTAAATGTATAAAGGCTAATTTACACACTGAAACAGTTAATTTACACAAACTGACATAAATGTAACAATGTAGCTGGAATTAAGAAATAAGTGCTACAAGTTAAAGTTTTTAAAACATGTTTAGCGCCATCTTCTTCAGTACAGAACCTGAGTTGGTTGGTTG